CATACATACATATGTACATACGAGTATGTCAATATCTATCTCTGTTTTGTCTAGCCTATGAATTAGAATTTTACAATGCGTCTACGTGATGATTGTTGAGGCTTGAAACAGGCAGGAAAAACAGGCAAATGGCCAATGTCAAATGGCAGACAAAACAAACAAAAACAAAACAAAAAAAATATCGCAACATTTCTTAGAGTTCAATATTGAAGATCCAATGAAATGCCCCATCCACGGCGATCCATGGTGGAGCTCCCCCGAGTGTGAGTGACTCACCACTTACCACAAAATACACTCAGAAAACTTTCGTTAATTGAGCAAACACAATTTGCATAAATATTGTAATCAAGTTGTCGCCTGCACGGGTATGTCGTATACACAAATATTGCACAAAAAGTTTTATTTTTTTGTTTTTGTATTTTGTCTTAAACTTTATCACTCGTTATCTTGGACCGATTGCGATTAGATCTTCTTGGTGTAGTTAGATAAGAGGGTTAGGGCAATTCATAGAACACACACACACTCACTCACACTCGCTCGATGGGGCGGAATATGTATTCACTTTATTCACACTGCATATTCGGATATTCGTTCGACTCAAACGGTCTCAAGTCCCAAGTCCCAAGACGTTGTTGGCAGAGAGGACGAGCGGCGCGACCGTTTCAAAGCACGTTCCGTATACGACTCGCTTCTACTTCTGGCAGCGAAAATATGTCTGCCGCTGCTGCTGTTGCTGTTGCCTTCTCTGCCTTCTTCGCTGTGTGTGTGTGTCTAATGGTTATAACTAAACCTGTACCTGAACCTATACTCGTACCTATGTGGATGTGGATGTGTCTGTGTTTCTTCCTATTTACGAGTCACGCGAATAGAAACAATAAAGTACTGGCGGCACACACACACGAACACCCATGAATCCTAGTTTTGGTGGTTGGAAAATAGTGCCAAGCCCTTCCTTGCCGCACGCCCGCTGCATATGATTAAAAAGCAACAGGAGCAGCAGACTAGCAGAGCAGCAGAGACGACAAAAGCTCTCCCTCTAGCCCTTAGCTCTAGCTGTAGCCCGAATGCAGGAACAGAACAGAACTCACCTCTAGTTAGCAGTCCTTCGCTTTCTGCACTGACTGTTAGCACGCACTGTTGTCTAGCTGTTAGCCAACTGTTAGCCAAATTTCAGCGATGATTCACTTGAGGGCGCAGCCCGTTTGGCGCTCTCTATTTCGTTGCTCTCGCGTTTTGTCTAACGAAAAGCTCTACGCGCAGCGGAAGCACAAACAAACAGACTTTTTCGCTTTCTTATTTAATTTAATTAAATTTGTGTGTTTGTAATTCGTTTAATGATATATGATATGCCTTGCTGCAGCGTCACCTGCTGCTGTAACTGCAAGTTCGTGATGCGTTTTTTGTTTGTGCTAGACTGAGGTCCAGTACGCTCCGCTTAGATTCTTTTATATGGCCGGGCGCAAGGCGGCGCGGCGCTCAGTACGAGACGAAACGATACGATCCGAGACGAGTCGATCCGGCAATCGCTCAGTTTGATGCTCGCGTCCTTCCCTGTCAGCAACCCCCCATCCCCCCCCACCATTCTGGTGCTTGAGCATAGTGGGGATCTTCCTCGTTTAGTTCGAATGCCGCCGCTATGAATATAACGGGAAACTCACGCATTTCTCCGTGATCCCGTTTTATCAATGCGATGAGTCACCCTCCCACTCTGAGTCTCGGTCTAAGCGATATGCCCTCTCATCGTCTTCTTCTTTAAGCGCAGAATTGCGTAAGTAAGCATCTGTATCTTCCGTGCGAAGTTCAAGCTGAATCATTTGAAATGCACGCCGTCCGCCGCCGCGTCCGAGCCTTCCTCCGCCACTTTCCTCTGTTTCGATTCATTCTGATTCGTTTTGTTACGATGCTAAATTTCGTTTTATATTGTTTCTTATATTTTGATTTATACGCACACAAACGTGCTGGAATGCCGTCCGCTCGGTCTCTTCCTTTACCGCCTATACCCCACCTGCGAGCCATCCCTCCCTTGCCGTGTGGGGCGCGTAATGTCTCCTTTTGTATACGTACTGCTATAGCTATTAAATGTTGCCTCTCGAACAAATAAACTAAGGATTTTAGATACAAAAGGAAAAAGAGAGATACAATTGCAAGCAGGAAGTCTGATTGATTGATTGACTGATGGATGGACAACCTGCGGGGGGTTGGCACTCCTTATCAGCATATCAATCAATCCGATATCCTTCAAAGTAACTCCATTAAATATTGAATTTATTATGTTCTTTATTACTCGGTTTTATTAGAAGAAAAAAGAAAGTCTTTTGTGGGCTGGGCCCCCATATCTACATAAATCCATAAGATTGGGCAACTGGCAGCACAAGAGCAGGCAGCAGGCAGCAGGTTTAGCTCGTAATTAAAGATACTTACTCTTTACTGTTTCCTAGACATAAATATATATAGCTTACGCATCTGCTCTGCCTCAAAAGATAATGAAAGACAAATAATGTTGTATCATCCCGACCTTGACTTCTCTCAACCTGGCTGTTCCAGCCATCTTTTGTCTGAATCTTGACTGGATCAGACTCCAGTTGTCTACGTGTTGTGGTCGTAGGACACGCCTTGATGTCGCACCCTCACCCTGGACACACACACTCGCAGAGCCCGTGTCTGGGTTAACCCTTTCTTCAATGGAAAACCCCACAAGTGCAGAAGTTATGGCTTGTATTGTATTGTGTTTCGGCATCTGCCCTGACTATCCCCGCAGTTCTAAGAAAAAACTCTTGAGTAATGCTATCACCCCGAAAATAAAATTTAAAAACAAAAGCAGACCACTGCCAGCTAAGGCTATGCAAACGGCAAACGGCAAACGTGCAATGCAAATGAATAAACCACACCGAGCAAAGAAAACAGATATTATAATATATATTTTTATTGCTTCTTTATTTTCACTCGAGTGTCTGCTGCCCACTGACTCACAAGTAACATCCACTGACTTGGATGCCAGCAGCCCTCCATCGAATACATTCCATCCGGAGAGAGAAAGGATGGATAGACAGACATTTTATTTCCATTACCACAAGCTCCATCGAATTGACATGCCAGAAGAGCTAGCGGCCATGGAGAGGGAAATACGATTTTGATTCTCAAAACAGATGTCCATGTCCATGTCAAGCTCGATGCTCCATGCTCCATGCTCGTCGCTACTGACCCTCTCTGGCGACCGGGGCTGTCATTCACCAGTTGATAAAAATCCAATAAAAAAAGCAACAACTTTTTAATTTGCATGCTACATAAAAGCTGCAGTCCTAGGCAGGAAAGGGGGGGACACAGACAAGAGGAAATACATTCGAAATGTGACAAACAGCTAAAGATAGAATAGATGACCATTATGTATTATTTATTGAAATCTAAGGAAAATTTCCCTCAAGGCAAATGGTACAGATTTTCATCGCATTGCGGCTTGAGCCACTTCCGCTTTGAATTCAATTTTCCCTGGGGATATTCACATGAAAGCTGTTCTTGTAAGTACAGCGTTAGTGCTTGTAAATGTGGAATATCATTTAAAATACTGAATACTTATCCTCTCCTCCACGTTTCGCTGTCCGATGTGCATCTTTGTGGATAACCAGCTGAAATCGAACACAAAACTGAGGCCATAAAGACATTTAACTGCACAGAGTTCCGCCCTTTGATTTTCTTGACTTACCATAGCTCAGCCCCCAAAGACCTTTACACAATCAGCAATCATTTTATGACTTTTAGCTATAAAATTAATAATTCTGTTTTGTTAAATTTTTAGCATTGCAAACACGTTCACACGAGGGCAACGAACGCGACTGCGCGAAAAGAGCTTTAAAATCAGAAAAAAAGTATACAGAAAATAAAAAATAAAACAAACAAAATCAAAAATATCCAAAAAATTGTCGACTAAATGCCAGCGAACGGCCAATGGTCAGTGGTCCCAGGTGGGCCAGTACGAGCCGCGCTTGGGCGCTGCACAATTACCAAAACAAAGAGCTGGCAGGAGGCAAACATAAACGTAAACACGTGAACTGCCTTGCCTGGCTATTTGCATTTGTCAAATAACAATAACAAAATTTGGAAGCTTAAATCAAGAATGCGGACTGCAGTTCTTTTGTGTTCAAGCCGAGTTAGGTGAACTTTCTGTCCGGGCTGGCACAAGGGTTTCCGAGGGGGGGCTAAGAAGGTCTATCTTCAGCTCATATGTATACGCAAATTGTTCGTTTGGGTTCAGTAAAATAGAAGAATCCTTTTGAAACTCGATTAAAGTAAAATCTGCGTAGCTGGCATTCCAAGGCCACTTCCTTTGCGTTGCTGTGGCCATTACTTTCGATGGGTGTCCTTTTCCTGGTTCAATGGAATCCCAATATTTATTTTGGCTATATTTTATTTAATTGCGCATACGCCGCGTATAACCCAAACAACACTAACAGCGGGACAACAACGGCGGAAAACGACCAGAAAATTGCCATCATATTTCTGACTGTCCGCTGTCGCCTCTTGTCTCTGCTTGTGCCTCTTGTTGCGTCGGCGGCTCCTGTTTGGCAGTCGCTGCACGTTCAGCATGCCGCATCACGTATTAATGAGTGCTGTACCCCTCTCAGCACCGCTCGGCAGCCACACCCACACAGACACGCTGCTGGCATCCTTGAGGCTGAAATAATACTTATTGCACTCAGGTCGCCCGTGTAGACAAACAGTTATGGCATTTAATGGCTAAAGAAAACATGGATATCCATGATAAAGCCAGTCACAATTCCCCTCCCACCACAGTGCTCTCCCGTTTCCATTTGCAAGCCAACAATAAAAGCAATCAAAAGCCAAAAGAATCAACTGCCACAGCCACTTGAGGCTCTGGCCCAGGCCCAGGCCCAGGCGCAGGCTCTTGCTGCATCGCAGGCGTGGGCGTTGTTCCCCAGCGAGACAGGGGGACACAGGGACTCAAGTGAAGGCAAATAATACTTCAGTTTATATTCATTGCAAAGTGGGAATTGTTTATTGCACTTGGTGAAAACCGCTGATTAAATGCACGTCGATTGTCCCTCAGCTGAACTTCCGCTGCTGCTGCGGAAGAGCCTTGCCTTGACTTGCCTTGCCTTCCTCAATAGCCAAAGAAGTTGAAGCCGCAGAGCAGTTTATCCGGCCTGCGTATGCGCGCTATCCCAAACTGAAATACAGACATATCATCCGCCGTATTCATGTCCAATGTCATCAGCTTCTCGGCGGCCAGGGGATGCCAAGAGCCGAACGTACAGGCGGCATTCATCTGAACACAAAGGAAATGAATGAATCAATAATTGAATCGAGACAGTGCTGTGTGGAAACACGGCTACCTCCTTGCTGTAGTAGTGACAGCGTCCATTGAGCCGCGTGGAGGGAATATACTCTACAAAGTCCACCTGAGGACAATGGGGCAAGAGCAACGCCAGACCTGCAACAAATATCAATGAAGATAAAAACCAAACGAAAACGCAATCAAAATGCTCACCAATAAAACCCGAACTGGGAGGATTACGTCTTATGGTACGGTTACCGGCAAACATCTGCAGAGTCTGCCACAGTCGCCACACGGAATGGGGATCGATGAGGAAGGCCCGCGACTTGGCATAGCGACGCCTATAGATCTCGTAGTTGGTGAACAGATCATAGTCGGCGCTGGTGAGCCAGTCCTCCAACGTACCGTTGTACTTGCCTGGATCCCAGGCGGCGATCGTCACATTGCGAAAGATGGGAGCGTGGGCAAAGTCGAATTCGGGCTTGGTGACCACCTAAGAGGGGAGCAGAGGAAATGACAGCACAGTTGGGGTGGATTGCCCGTGCTGGGTAATGCAATTGCAAGTGCGAGTGCGGAACTGGGTTGTGGTGCGGGTGCAGGTTCGGGCTTGGGCTCGGGTTCGGGTTCTGTTTCGGTGCCACCTACTTGAGAATTCACCACACGAATTGTGGTTTTGCTGCCAACATCCACCTCGTGTCCTTGCGTGGGCGCATGATTGAATCTCATCACAATGTCGTGCGTGTCTGGGAACGAAGCAAATGCAAATAAAATAAAATAAAACGAAATTGGAGTAGACATAGACACGGGTAAGTCAAACTGGTCATGAGCGATTCTTCCGACTTATTGTGCATGCGTGCAGCTCGTTGCTGTTGCTGCTGTTGCTGTTGCAGCTTGCCTTACCGATGAAGCGACCCAGCTTGGAGCCGGCCAGGGAGCCGGCGCTGGAGACAATCGCACAGGTCTTGATGTTCTTGATGTTGCGAAAGAGCTTCTGGCGCGGAAAGAGGCGGCCAAAGGGCATTTTGTCAAAGGGTGTATCCTTGCGGCGTAGTACCCGCACGCCCGCTTCCATGACCAGGCAGGTGGACGGATAGTACTGCTCCTCGAAGCTATCCCCGAACACGGGCTTGTAGTCGACGTGGTAGGGATTGGGATGCGAGTCGTTGAGCGACTCGCTCATGGACTTATCGAAGGTCTGGACAATGCGCTGGCGGAACTGCTGCGTCTTGTTGTGGCACTGATCCGAGTACTTGTCGTGGCACACGTAAAGCTTGGGGCTGAGCGTGAGTTTCGTATTCTTGGAGACCTTTAGCCGCGGATGGGGCGCCAGCTTGGAGGAGTTGATGGCCGGACTCTCGCGACTCTCCACAACGAACTTTTCGTTGGGATTCCATCGCACATGGAACACGCTACGCGTCAGTCGTCGTGATGCACTCCCATGCTCATTTCCTGCAGGAGAATCAAATTACTTTGCGCAAACGCTTTTCTGCCATACGCACCGTTGACGGCTGCTCGCCCTGAGGTATTCACCTCTGCCACGCTGGGTTCGTGTCTCGGCTGAGCTTTCGTGGCGCCGATTTGTACGCTCTGAATTATTAACGCGACGCTCAGAAGCAGGACAGCGAGTGGGCGCTGACACTGACCCGACAATGCGCGTTTCACTTGCCACATTTTCCACACATAATACACCCTTCCGCAGTGCTTTCAATTAATATTTAAGTGGACTAAGATAAGTCAGTAGCTGAAGGAGGAGAATGAAGTACTGTATTAAAATATATTTTCCGCATATTTGGCTTTTCACAGGACTAAGTGCAATGCAAAGATTAGAAGCAGGGATAGGGACTGACGATGTTACGAGTAATATTAATTTATTAATACAAAAATAGCTTGACACCGTTTCACAAATTCTTTCTCTCTGGAAACATCCTAGACCGCAAGGGTATGGGCACATACTCCCCGGCCCATCTTTCCAAATGTAATGTGCTCGTTATTTTCATATTAGTCTTATCAATTAACTGCAAAGCACTCTTCAGCAATGTCAGTTACAATTAGTTGGCCTTCCGCCCATTCACGTTTCATCTAAGTAGAAAACCATGTAGCCTGTCAAGTCACAAACAATTATGCTGCCAGCAGATTTGTTAGCCATCATTCGAATGGACAGATTTGGCTGTCACAGATATTTACAGGTCTTTTTCGACTCATTTTCGATTCATTTTCGACTGCTGCTGGTCGGGTGGCGCCAAAAAGCATGCAAAACAAAACCGCACACGCAAATTACCCAGTCGAAAAGAAGGGAGGGAGGGAAGGGGCAAGCACAAACAATACTCGGGGACAAGTTGTGTTGACCGTTAACCGTTGGGGTAGCGCCGCACTTTAATGGTTGGCAAATATTTAACTAGAGGCACACAAACACGCGAGCAAACACCTGAAAACGCACATACATATGGATGTATGTACGTATGTATATACTCGTACACTAGCCGCCAAAAGTGCGTTCACTGGCAGCAAGCGCAAAAGTTCGCAAAAATGACCGCTCTTAAATGGCGCTTACATCCGTGTCGTATCGTATCGTATCCGCTGCTCGAACTTTCCCTTTCGACAGTCGAAACGACTCTGAGTTCCGTTTCCCGGCCAGCCAGCCGAGCCGAGCCGATGAACCGACGAGCCGAGTGGAGATGAACCAGCTTCGGCATTGGTGGCGGCATCCCGATGGTCCTTCCGTCGGATTATCCTTCCTTCCTTTGACTCCTCGAGCTGCTCTCCCCCCCCCAACGAGTGTTCCCCTCGGCTTCGCTTAATTAGAGTGTTGTTACTTCTGCCACTGTTGCCGTTGCTGCTGTTGCCGCCACTGCCTTTTGCCAGAGCCTTTAAGCACCTGCGTTGAGAGCGGGCGCGAAAAGTGAAAGTTATATAATACATATAATACTTTCAGGCCCCCCACAAACCTTAGCACTTCAAAGCCAAATCCGTGAGAGATTTTTACACTTGCCATTTGCAAGAATTTACTAGGACTCTGCTCCAACTGACTCCCCGTAGCCCACTAAGCGCAAGCTGACGATTCTGGCCAAGTTTTCGGTTTGATTGCAGGCACTTCGCTGGATTCTCCTATGGGGAAATCAAATTTGACGACTGCCTAGCACTAAAGTCGCACGTTTTTATAGAAGTATTTGGCATTGCAGTGTGATCACAGGGGTCAGCAGTGGTTTTGGTATTCTCTTTTGATTTGAGAGCAGTTTTCTCTTTCTTAGTTTTTTCCTGGAAGCTTTCAGAGTGCAGAGAAGGAAGGAAATACTTAAATAAATCTTGCTTTGGCCTGTAGAACTTTGTGCAAGTCATGGGTTCCTTTTTTAAATAGAAGAGAATTCAAAGACTTGGCCCCGAACTTTGTCCTATCGTCTTTTACTTTATACGTTTGTTCTCGATTTTCCCTCGTTGCCTCGTTGTGATCCTCCGCCGTCCCAGAAGCAAGTCAAATGCGCATTCTCGTATATATATATATTTGTTTTTTATGTTTTTTTTTTTTGCTTTTTCGGCTTGAACAATAATTATTATTTTTGTAATCATTTATTATTCATCGTCATAATCATAATAATTTTTCTATACAAATACATTCAATAACAACAATTTTTTTTATTATATTCTTTTTGTTTTCTGCTTTTGTTTTTACTTTTACGTCATTGTTTAATTATTTTACAATTACCATAATTATGCCAGTTGCCATTATTATTATTACATAGTATTACTATTTTCCATCTCTCGTTATTCATAATTTTTTCATTTTCATTTCTTTAGATAGTTTGGCTGGGGAATTTCCTTTGTTTTCGTATTTAGATTTTTAGCTTAAGGACTATGAAAATTTCGTTTTCCGTGTTCTATTTTTTGGGATTATTCTTTTTTTTTTAATTTTGTTTCCTATGTTCTGTTATTTTATTTTTTTTATCCCATTTTGGTTTTGCATTCTTTTTAACAACAAGTACAGAAGATTTCAGTTTATTTTTGTTAAAGTTCTTAGCTGTCTCATGTGGGATGTTAGAATTTAATTTATTTTTATCAGTTTCTTCTAGGATAGTGTTATTTTGGGATGGGTTTGTCATCTGGATATTCTTGGCTGCAAACGTTTTCCCTTGGAAAACTCTATGGTTTTAGTATTCGTTTTTAATGGAAATTGTTTTGTTTTGTTAGCTAGCAGCTTTGATTTAATTTTTTTAATTGTTTTGTTGTTGTTCCATTTAATTAAATTAAATTTGTCTTGACTGGGCGCTATGAATTTTCATGTATTATTACGCTTCGCTTCGCTTGCCTCTCTACTTCTCGGTTTCGTATTTGTTTGGCATTCGGTGTTTTCTTTTTTGATATCAAATACAATACATTTAATATTTTTCGTTCCTCTTTGCCATGGCAAAAAATTATGTAATTTCGTTCTGACCTAAAAAGAATTTTGGTTTTCGTTTTTAAAATTCTCTTTTCGTTTTTATTTATTTTTTGTTTTTTTTTTACATATTTTAAATAGTTTTTTTTTTTTGTTTTTGTAGAAAATAATTGCTACCGTTTGCCATACATTTTGTTGCTGCAGCGGAGTTTTTTGTTTCATTACTGGGTATCTTTAATTATGTTTGGTTTTGTTTTTGGTTTTTTGTTTTTTTTTTTTGTGGCAGCTGCTAATCAATTACAAAAATTATTGTATAATTCGTGCTAACTTGTTATTGATTCGGATGGGCATTGGAATTCGTTAGTGTGTGTGTGTGGGTGTGTGGATCGCATGGGCTGGTTCCATTGCGGCTATTTCTTCCTGTTCGGTTGCGCTGCGGTAAAGTAATGTTTGACGATATCATATAATCGTCGCTTGATCGGAGCTACAGCTCTGAGTTTTACCGTTTACCCCCCCCAATACGCACACAATTCAACTAGTTTTTCTCCTTGCACAATGAAAATCGTCTCATTCTGGAAACATCCTCTCCAACCGTCCAACGCGTACAATTTGTTTAATACATACATACTCTAAGGGAGACGTGGAATTGGAATGGGAATCGGGATGGGGTTGGGAATTGGGATCGAAATCGGAATCACGATCGGATTGCCCGCCTCCGTATACCGCCTACCGTCCACCGTCCACCGTCCACAGACCTCCATCTACGTTCACGTCCATTTATTGTTTACATTTAAATAAATTAACATTTAATTTATTATTATTTAGGCATCTATTCATGTTAACTATTTTATATATATCAAAAAGTTTTACAAAAGTACACAATAATTCATAACAATTTGCATTTCAATATGCGCGCAATTTGTGCCAGCGGCTCTCTCTCTCTCTCTCTCTCTCTCTCTCTGTTTCTGCTCTGTTTCTTCATTCGTGTCGCTCCTCTTCGAAATGAGTTTAGCATTCGCCCCAATGTACAGTTATCTCGCTGACGACAGTACGAGATAGCGAAAGGTTTTTGTTTATGTAAATTCATAAATTTCGTGTGTGTTTCATTGAGTTGCGGAAAGAGTTTTACACACAGACGGGACATTAATTATGGAAAATTGTTGGCGAACGGAAAATCTCGTAATAGAAAATTCGTGTGGGACAGAAACTCTCACAGAAAAAAATGTCCCAATTTCCAGGGACAGTTAAAGGATACTGTAGTTCTTTTCTATTTACAAATATTTATTGATATGGAGGGGGAAATCAAAGAAATGTAAGTGCATGAGAGGTCCTTAATGAATGCTACTACTTTTGCTTGTAATATTCTTTACGTTTCTACAACAACATCTAACACAATCCACACCATTCCTATTATTCTATCTCTTCCTAAAGTAATGCGTCAGTGTTGAAAGAAAGTGTTGAAAACGGAAGTGAAATTCCAGCTGAAAGTTGAGGAACATTACAAAACATTACTACTCGTACATACATGTGTACTAGACTCAAAAGAAGTTTCGGTTTCGTTTCTCAGCCACTGCCTGCAGTGGGTCAAAGTTGAACCTTTCGTTAACAGATTTCGGAATGAATTTTCCCAAAAACATAGGAAATTTCGAAAGCGTTGAGAGATGATGCGGTGAGTAGAAACTAACTAAACTAAATATATTGTATAAGAGTGCTTAAGGTAGGTATATGGTATATGGTATAAGGTGTATGTGTATGTGTGAGTGTGAGTGTGAGTTTTTATTTTGTTTGTTTGGCGAGTGTGCTCTATCAGAGGGACTTTCTCATACTGTTTCGTACTTAGCTCCATAGTTAATTAGTTAATACCAAATATGACTATTTATCTGAATATTTCTTATTGGTTTAAGTTTGGTTTTTTTTTAATTCATTTTTTGTTTTGTTTTGTTTCGTTTTTCCTATAGTTATTCCATTTCTGCTGCAAGTTATGTACGATAAATTGATAATTATAAATATATCCCTCGCAAATGTATTATATATGTATTCGCTACATAGAGTTCACTTTATTACAAAAATTATTATTATTATTATTCATATAGTAGGTATGTTGTTGCTGCTGTTTGCTTTTCTCTATCTTCTGTTGCTGTTTACGTTGCACATTTTCACTATTCCTATCGTACAGATCAGATCCTATACCCAGATCAATATACATATACGTAAATGTGGCGCATGGATCATGGCTCTATATACTGGTAATGCTTCCGTTTTGTGTCTGAATCCTTTAATGAACCTTAAAGATAAGTTTTACTGTGCGCTTTACATGCTCCTCTGTCCACCCATTTTTCGGGGTTCTTTTCTGGGTTTTCTCAGGGATTATACAAATTATGAACCATCATCGTCTGCTTCCGTTTTAAAACTAAATAAAGACAATTCTTAGACACGTTTGTGGTTGTTATTTTTGTTATCTTCGTCTCGTTAATTGATTAATTAATTTGTTAATTAATCGCTTCCACATCTCTCGACCGTCTCGACTACAGTATTTCATATATATATGTTCTTTTATATTTCGTTAAACTAGATTTTTTTAAGTAAAGTTCACGTTTCGTTTTTTGTTTTTGGGGTTTCTTTGAAAGGTGGTTGATACGCGGCCTATACGTCAATTTGTTAATGAAATTGTATTTTCTTTCCTCTTTTGTTTTGTTAGCTGTCGTCGTGAATTTTCCGCTATTTAGTTATGTATGCCGTTTTCAAAATTTCTTTGTTATTCTAGTTGTAAATTATTCCATTTTTCCGTTTCTCTTTGTTTTCTTTCTTTATTTGTTTCATTTTTAGCTAACCTAAAATTTTCGTATTTGTTGCTCGCCAGTAATTAAATTAATAACTATTTTTATTTTTGGTTTCGTTTCGGTTCCGTTTGATGTACTCGTATGTACACATACATATCATGTGTACATACATATGTATATCATTGTTTAGTTCCATGCTCCTGTTAAATGTTCCTGTTTTTTTTTTTTGGTTTTTTTTTTCTGTGTCTCTGTTATCATTTATCTAAAAAACCTATTCTTGTGGCAGTTGCTTTTTGTTTAATTAAATATTAATATTCTTTGTTCTAGTTGTAATAAAATATGCTATTTTGTTTTTTGGGTTTTTTTTTTTCAATGGAGATTTATAATTCATGTTCGTTTTTATTTCACTTGAAAGAGGACCATAAATATTTATGTGGTTTTTATTTGCTTTGGTTTTATGTCTCATTTAATTCGCTTTTCCCCCAGTTTTATAATCTTGTTGTTGGTGTCTATGTTCTGTTTTTTTTTAGCTCTCAACTTCTATTATTTATCATTTCGGAATTAACTACCATTCGATTTTCCTATAGCGACAGGGATGAGAGAGTACACGGGCAGCCATTGGCTTGCCATCGCCGTCGCCATCGTCCGCCCACTGTTGGCGGAAGCACACGGCCACACACGTTTTGCAGGCACTATAAGGCGCCGCTGCCCACAATTCGCCACTCCCCCAGCCACCATCTCCGCCACCAATCGTTGATGTTGTAGTTGTAGTAGTAGAAATAGCGATAGTTAATAGTCCTAGTGCACCCCTCCCTCGCCTGCCACACACCCCCGCCCGGCCAGCTCCAACTCCACCTGATCCTGATCCTGATTCTGACTCGTAATCGTACCGGATCTAAGTCTCTATATTTAGGCATGGATATACGACCACCTCGCGACTCGCATTTAAATTTACTCCGGCTACTAAAGTATCTCACTTTGCTACACATCTGCCTATGAGTATTTAGTGGTCTCACCGACCACGCCCACATCCAAGCATTCGACCCGAAAGCGCCCTCAGCCTCGGCTTCGGCTTCTGCTTGGGGAGCCTTTTCCGTGCATTTTCCATCGACGCTTTGCTGGCTGCTCCTCCTGTTCGTGCTGCCGCTGCCGCTGCCACTGCCACTTGCTGAGTTGCTGTTGCTGGTGATTAGCTCCTGCTCGTGGCAGCTGGCCTCGCAGTTGACGCACTGGCGACCACGGCCACGCTGCCCACAGCCGCCGCTCCAGCTGCAGCTCCAGCGCTGAGCCGCCCCGCAGCTGCTGAGCAGGCCGAGCAAAGCGCTCAGCCAGACGAGCAGCTGTGTGGGCGGTGCCGCGGCCTCTGTGCCCGAGGCGTAGTACGGAAATGTGCAGCGCGTGGTGACGGCGGGCACTGGGGCACAGTTGCCGGATACCGGCGCCTTGGGCATCTCTCCGTCCTCGTCGTAGTAGTAGATGCTGCCGAGGCGTGCATAGTACGGCAGACGCTCCATCAGTGACTCCATGGCGTCCTGTTCGCTGTCGCGCTCCTTGGTCACGTTCCTCAGGGCCAGAGCCACGCTCTTGGCCCGGGCATGCTCGCCGGGGGGAGAGCTCAGCGTGAGCGTTATGTTGTGGACTCGGCGGGTGGAATTTGCTGCCACATCGCTGGGACTTGCCCGCGGCGGGGCAAAATCCTGGCACACGGTGCAGACTCCGCTCTCGGGTCCGTTGCAGTAGCTGTAGCAGCAGTCGTTGGGGCCGTAGCTGGATTTCTTCAGCTGCTCTCCAGTTTCGGGTATATTTTGATCTACAGTGGGATTGGGTTGTAGTATTACAAAATTGAGAGGGCATAGATTTCAGGGGCGGCTTACCTAGGCAAAGAAATGTCGGCTCGCCGGCATATTGGGTGGGCAGCGCAGGGGCGCGGTCGGCGGGCAGCAGATACGGGCACTTTTGTTCTACGGTTTGACAGACGCTCAGGCAGGGCCGGATGCGTCGTCGCTTGCGGAACTCCGCCTTGCGTGTCGATCTGCCGTGGGTGTTGAGATAGAGCAACGAATTATGTTTGTGTCTGATAATTTTCGTGGCTTCGTGGGACAACTTACCTCTTTTGAAGTTTTGATATCACTGGATCCAAGCCTCTGGGATCCGCATTATTGGCAGTCGATATGAAATTATTGGATTGTGTTTCAGCCTCAGCCGCGGCCATGGCAACTGGCCCCTCGCCACCATTCACATCCGACACCTGGCTCTGGTGGGGATTAGACATGCCAACAACATCATAGAATGTCTGAGCCAGATCCCTGCCAATCGCATCCTCCACATTGCGGTCATTGTCCCCGTTCACGTTCCCGTTCACATTGCCGTTTGCGTTCGTGTTCTCCTCGTTCCCATTCGCCTTCGAGCTCTTGTCAGGCTTCTGATTAATCTGACGCTCGTTCATGTTATTGCCGTTATTTGATTTATTGTTATTGCTGATTAATTTCAGAGATTTATGCTTGATTCCGTTCACTCCTCCAGCTCCAGCTACACCAGCTACATCACCTCCCTCAGTCCGCGTTGCACTCCACGCCGAGCGTTTGTTTTTGCCAGGAGTTTTCGCATTGCTGCTCTGCTCAGTCCCGGGTGGAGCAACGTCCTTTGGCTCGGCAAAATATGGCACCAGTGTACTGCATACCCAGCGACGATATGCTTCCTGCAAAACAAACAACAATAAAAAACAACCAAATGAAAAATGTTACATTAATAATGGAAATTCCCTCGGTCACGCTTATACTTATTAAACCGATTAAGATTTATGCTGATGCAATTAAATGCTTTAAACTGAATCTAGTATTTTATTGGGAGCTTATACATGTTTTTGCGAATTGAATTCCCTTTTTGAACTGGCTATGAATAAAATTGTAGCTATCTAACAGCATATAATCTGTTCTTGGATAAACTTACATACATATATTATTATCGCTTACACCTTACTCGTTTAGTAATAAAGTATCGATCCAAGTACTACATACATATAGTAGTAGGTAGGTACATCCCTCTACATCCTCACCAGACAAATATTTTGCATACTTTTGCAGCCGAACAATTAATTCGGAGATTCCCCTTGAGCTCGTTGAATCACAACTCAATCCATACATATATTAGTTTTGAATCTGTATGTCATTTTCCTCCACCGTACCGTCGCCCTTCAATCATCCAACAGTTTTTCATTTAGCTGGCAATTTGCTGCCAGGTAGGAAAAATATTTTTGCTTATACTTTGCTGATGTGTTGTCGGTTTTCGTTGTTGGCTGTCGATGTTGTTGATGTGTTTGTGGTAGTAGTTTTTTTTTGTGATTTTCAATTTGGCCCTAACTATGTGCATTGCAGCTGTTTTCTGTGGAATTTCCTGGTCTGGTCCGGCTCCGCTCCTAGCTCTCCTACAGCCTCCACATCCACACCTAATATCCGGCACACCACAAATGTTGGTCAAAGCCAAATACCAAACATACAGCTCAACTCCACTATTCTGGAGGCCTGTACAGATTTTTTGCTTTTGGATAAAATTTGAGCTATTTTGCAACATTTTCCAACATTTCTGTGGCTATCTCATCTGTTTGGATTGCCATTACAGTTGCCTGGAGGGCTTCAGACTAGACCGAATTTAAGTTTTTCTTTCAGTTTTAATATGTACATAAGCACCTATGTACCTACATGTATACATATGTATGTAGCTTGTAGTGCTGAAAAATATTGACCGTATGCAGTGAGCAGCCGAAAAGGCAGAGCTGCTTCTCGATGTACATGTACATGTATGTACGCATTTATCCAGGCTCTTGATTGCCTCAAGTTAAAGTGCAGCAAAGTGCATTGATTGCCTAAATCAATTATAGCAATTGTATGTGGAGATGCAGATGCAGATGCGTGCATGTGTGTGTGTGTGTTGGAGAGGCATGTGGCATGCACCACAAAACAAAGCAAAGCATGGCAAAGGCCAAATGCAAACACAACACTAATTGAATTAACCTCTACAAGGCACCCTTCCAGCCACGCCCTGTCTGTCTTTTGGGCTGAATATTCCTTGGGTGTGGCTATGCCCGTGATAACCGCAAAGGCGTGCGCCGCATTCATAAATTACGCATACGTACGTATACGCAATGCTGCCCAGCAGCCCTGCGGCCGACTGCAACTGGCTGCAGCCACAGAACGAGCCCACCATCACCACCTGCAATGGCCATGTTAATTACATATTTGTGCATTGCCGCTGGGTTCTGTAGGCGTTGCTACTTATGGCCAGCACCTAGTAATGAAGTAATGAAAATGGCAAATACAAACTTATAGGTTTTCAGGCAGCTAGGCCAGCCAGCTACGAGTGGATTGGATATTCCTTTTTTATTGAACGGAACATCAGAGTTAAATCCAAAAATAACATAAATTAAATCTAAAGCTCACATTTGATGTGTTTCAACTGGTAAAATAATTGCAACACGTCATGTACATACATATATAAATATGTATATGTAAATTAGTCATCCCGTACATACTCCTACATACCGCTCTATATGGATATATGAGATCGCCTTGACATTTGTGAGTAGTTCATCAAGAACTATACTCATTTTGTTTTGGCCATGAAAGACAACGACCCCATAAACTCAGCGAGTGACTGACATTAAACCACAAGCACATACACATGTATGGATAAATATCGACATAGTACACGTATACATACGTCTGCGGGTGGGAGAAGCTGTTGCTTTGGGGCCTGCGTAGGCGTCTTCATCGTTATCGTTTGATATTCGCCCCTCATGCAGTCAACGTGCAAAATTATTATTTAATTACAAAAAGTATTTTTTTCATTAATGGGACACTTTCGTAGGGCGCCCCCTATCCCGATTTCTCGCTCTGATAAAATGAGTTACTCGTAGCCTCCTTGTGGCAGTTGCACGTGGCAGCAACAGCTTGAGTATGTGACGAACACTGCACCACTGACACACCGAAATAGGATGGAAAAAAAAGCAGTAAAAGCGAACCCAATTAGAGGCCGTGAGCTGCTGACGCAGTTGATGCAAGTTAATTGGAGCCTGTTGAGTGAGCCGCCACGAGGCAGGCCATATAGCCACGCCACCATCTATGGTAGGTACTACCCGCAAAACCAAATTCCAAACCGAAGTACAAAAAAAATGGGAAACCAGTCAATCCCCATGGACCAAGGAGAAGAAGGTGCATGCGGAAAGTGGATTTAAAATCATTCCCAACAGCTCCTCTGGCCACACAGTGAAATCCGGTTAAGTCTGCCTTCATTTAAATGCGAGGCGCAAAAGTCATTCCACACCCACGGAATCCCCATTTTCGTCCTTTTCATCCATTACTCCTACATGACACCATCAGCATCAGCATGCAGCCTGCAGCATTGATAGCATACATACACATGTACATATCGTATGTAGGTATGTATGTGTGGGGCAGGATGATGCTGTGAGAGTGCGACATATGAGGGCAGCAAATACGCAGAGTTATGCCTGTCCAGCGATGTGGAACCTTTGCGCGTTCCACAACCATCCCCTCACCTCATTCCATGTGTCATTGTCATATTGGCCCTCTCCTCTGGCTGTGTGCGGGTTTGTGGTTCGAAAATTGGGAAACTCAATATGTGATAATGATGGGAGAGAGGCAAGTGCGTGGGGTCCAGTCCAAAATGGTTTAATTGGAATATGTGCACAATGTACAGGCCAGCTCAGGCCAGCTCAGGCCAGTGACTTTTTCGATCCAATTCAAATTCAAATTCCAGCAATTTTCCGTAAGAGTTCATCAAATATTTGCCATTTTAACAGTTATCCATATAAATGTTTATAATGTTTATGGTACCCCCCAAGAATATCCAACGCTTCTCAAAATAAACTTTCGCCCCGTCGTCCGTCACTCGTAAACATTAATAGCTAACCCAAGGGTTAAGGTCATGCAGGGCAAAGTGAAAGTTTGCGAGGGAAGGGTCTGGGGATGGGGTCATACTCGACAAAGAAAAGGCCAGAGAAGACCCCGCTGCCACTGACCATCATCAGTCAGTCAATGACCGTTTCATATGGCAAATAATTGAATTTTTTTTTTGGTTTTTTTTGGTCTTTGCTTTATTTTTGAAAGGGAGTAGAAAAGAAAGAAAAATATCTTTTATATTTGCCAAACGGAGCAGACATTGCGTGGGGCTTGATTTACGAGTTTTCAAATGGCCGCCATTGCTGTTGATGTCGGTGTTTCTGTTGCCCATTGGTGTCGTCGGGTTTTACTATCATAATTTCATAAGCCGTTGAACCAAAGAAATGACACAAACACGAGTAATAAAAAAATAAAAAAAATAATAATCATAAATACATATGTACAGAAGTAAGCCATCCAACCGCATTGCACCACAGAAAATGTGCCCAAAAATTAATCGATTCATATTCATACTAAACAAAAAAGAGAACAGAATTGATACGCTATCGCTGAGCGGCACAGGTCGACTGGCATTTGAGTGTGTAAGAATGTACCACAATTAATACCCATTTAGCCTTCACAAAATTGCTTCTGGCTTGGCATTCATATTTGCCATTTTCTAAGGCTTCTTGGCTAATTATTCTCGTTGGGGGAGAGACAGAGAGAGAGAGAAAACTTTTCATTTGCTGTGAGTGAAAGTGAAAGTGCCATCGGTGTAATGACCAACCAAATGAGAACAACTTTGTTTGCCCTTGCATATTGTTTGCGTTATCGATCCCCTCCTGCCCTGCGCTTGCTTCGTTGTTTTTCCACTTTACTACAGCGAAGCCAATCCACAATTCGATTGGCTCGGTTGAGTGTATCAAAGTTTATGCTTCTGCATTGGCCTTCAAATTCATTCGCAAACTGGCTGAAACATAAATATTTTATGGCTTTCTAAGCGCACTCGCTTCGATGCTAGTTTGAGACAGCGAGGGAAAAAAAAACCAATTCAGCAGGAATTTAATACACTTTCATTTCGGTCCTGGCCGGGTCCAGTTCTGGGTCTGGTTATGGGTCGTTGGGTCTGGGTATGGATCCTTATTGTGGTCTTGGTCAGTGTGTTATGGGAACGTGACTGAATTTGGCAAAAGATTTGCGCAGCACACAAAATGCCATGCCATGGACGATGTAATGTAATTGATATGGCCACACACACGACACACACACACACACACACACACGACACACACATGCTCACTCAAAATCTACAGATTGGAGACCTTCCCCAACTCTCATTTGCTAGTCGTAACGTTCCACGTTAGGCTCGTATGTATGCAAATAAGTTATGATTTGATTTGTACCATTGCAGCAAATTTATGAGTAGTAAGAACCCTGCCATTACGGATGGCTCGACGTTTTTTTTTTGTTGGTTCGCTTCTGGCCTGGTTTCGGCCTCGTTCGTGTTTGTGCTCGTGCCTGGCTCTGACTCTGGCTCTGCAGCTCAATGTTGTTGCCAATTTACATAATGGCTAACGAAACGTTGCCTGCCTGCCTTCCTGCCTGCCTGCATGTGTGCGTGTGCATATGCGAGTGCTACAGATTTGTGAATTTGCAAATTTAAAATACATTTATTAAAATTCACTCCATAAATAACAATCAACAATGATTTTTACAGCCATTAAATGTAAATGCGAAATATCTGTGGTTATTGTTTCGGTCAAGTAAATACTTCAATTATGTGCAGTCACGATGCGCAGTC